CGATATAATCGAAGTCAATTCCTCGTTACGTCAATGTTCAATGATATAGAGAATGCGGCGACCTTGGACTCTTGCAGGCATACAATGGAGCTGCGCTATTGAGCGATGATATCCCTAACAACGCTATGACGCGGACGGCTGTTCAAGCCTCGTGCGTTCCAGGTGAGGATGTGGTTTGCACTCATTGAAAAACCCTTTTGGCAACGATGAGCAACAGGGCTCAATCGACTCACCGCCAAATACGCCCAACAAGCGCCACGAAGCGGGGAAGAGCTCATGATCGATGCTTTCTTGGAAGACGACAGCTGCTCGGCTCGGCGAAGGTCTCGTAGAATTTGGTTGAAATCGCGCGCATCCGGAGTGCGCGTGCGGCGTCATCAGCCTCTTTTGCCACTGTTCAACATCACACGCCTGCTTTGCTTTTCTTGGCCGCGGGTCGCGAAAGGATGACTTGCTACGAGCACATCATCTGCGACGAGGTACGAGGTCGGTGACATTACGCACAACGTGATGTGGACGCGGGCGCAAAGACGGATCAAAGTTTCACAAACGGCACTGAGGGATTCGATGAAGCCAAGCAACCAAGCGGATCTCAGAGCATGTCCGCAATGTACCGTAGCATTGGTTGATCAAGGCCAAGAAATGGGCCAATGGCCGAGGATGTGCCGCGACTAAGCATTGGCCCAAGAGGTTCTGGAAATGGGATTCCATGTTAGAAAGGCGGGCCCATGTCGGCAAAGCGCATGGGCAGCCCACACAGATCGCTAATCTCCACCGAGCGCGAGACCAATGGACTTGATGTATGTAGCACCGGTCGCGTCGGGAGGTGAGGGAGTTAGGCCCGAGCCTGGGTGGGAGGCCCAGGAAGGTGCTCGCACTCCAATAGCCATCCGAGCTCCCTAGGGCCGACGTCATCCTCCCCGGCCGCCGGGTCCACGAGAAAACCCGGACCACCACCGGGTCCAATGACAAGAAGATCGCGCACTGCGATCAAGAACCAATCTCGTCAGATTCTTGGGCGATGAAGCCTCGATTCCGGAACCACCGTCACCGTGGAGGCCGAGGAGTGAAGCGTCATCATGGACCAAAGACGCTGCTCCGGTGCTCGGTGGTCCACCTTTCCCGACTAGGCAGGTCATACGGCCGCTTCAAACAAAGATGGGGTCCACGGATCTTCCCAACTCCGTGTCTCTCGGGCGATGTAGACAGAGTGAGTCCACGAAGGGGTTAGCGGTGCTCAGATCTTCCGGCAACTTTTCGACCGGAGCTCGGGTCCAATGACCGCGACGAGTCCCGACCCATTGCACCGCCACCGACCAATCGATGTTCGTTCCCGTGGCACCGCCGCATGGCGGCCAATCATGCATGACGCCACGACCGGGCATGCAAACGACCCGACGAGGATGATACGCCGCAATCTAAAGGTGGGCCCACGTCCATTGCTGCCGAGGGCGATCGCTCTGTGCCGGCGAGCCAGACGATTTCGGCCCCGTGAAGAACGGTGTCCCCAAGGTCGAGGCCGTGGTGGCGGCGGTTGTGGTTCTTGCCACCACCACTATCGCCATCATCATCATCGTCGGGCTGCCATGCCCGTCGTCATCATCGGACGTGTGCCGGGTGATAGACCAATCTTGGAACTCGACAACCCGACAAGAACGGACCGTGTAGCGGAGGGCAAGGAGCTCCGTCATGTCCACCGCTGCCAGAAGCGGTGGCTCGGGATGGCTATGATCTTCTCGTCCGGACGAGCCTAGGGTGAATGCACCAGCAAAGAACGAAGAGCTCGTGGTCATCATCCTCGAATACGACCTCCGGTGAGGCGACCTCGACGCCAAAGACAGGGGCGTTCCCAAGATGCACCCGCGGCGATGGAGACGCTCCGAGCATGGGCGGGGCGTTCCTCATTCCGGACGAGCACCACTGAACGCGAAGGCGCTGCCGAGGCCCATGGATGTGCGCCTCCAAGGCCGCCAGTAGGGGTGAAGGGGTGGCATGGTGGCGTACCGTTCAAGACGAGGTCCCGATCCGGGCTCGCCAAAACGGACAATGAAGTCCTCCGGAACGTGACGATGGATTTTAAGGCCTCCGCGGGGAGTCGGTGATCGCAGAGGTGACGCTTCGGACCATGGCCGGCGTGACCACAGTCGCGTACCTCCAACGATAGCGACCAGCCACAGAGAGGTCCTCCTCGGTACGCCTCTAGCTCCGCAGAGCGAGGGATGACGACTATCTCCGTGAAGCGTCCCTCCGCCCGCGCACGACATCGAACACCGGGTTCAAATGCGTCGCGACCTCCTTGCCGAGATCATCGAGGTGGCGGCGGAGGGTCGGAGGTTCACAAAGACCGGTACCAAGGAGAGCGGCCAGATGGAGATCGACCGGCGGATGCCGTGTCATCACCATACGCCGCGCCAAGAGCTTTGGCGGAGTTCTCGCACGCCGCGGGCGTGGGGCGGCGGACGACGACGGCGTTATGCGGAGAGGCGGCGCGAGCGGCGGGCGCGCTTGCCACCGGGTGACGGAGCCCAAGCCGACACTCCCTGGCCTCGTGGCCTGGCTACTTGCAGAGGAAGCACCTTGCCCTCCAGACGCAATCCGCCTTGACGTGGTCACCTGCCAGGCAATTGAAGCACAGGCCAACTAGGTTCTTGGGGACAGGCTTTACCGGTTTGGGGGGCTCTGGACCTGGTAGAAGCCGTCAACATCCGGTGGGTCCGTGGGGCAGACGGGGTGGACGACAGCGGAGGCGACGTGACCGCGCGGTGGAGAGACGCAGGGATGAGTGCGACGCGCGTCCGCCAAGAAGCCACCGTCAGCAGCCGGAGCGCGAGCGTGCCGCCGCCTCCGCGGGCGGCGCCGGCGCGGCACCGCGACCTGCTTGCCCCTGCCCTCAGGTGGCGGGGAGGGGGGATCCGAGTCCACCGAGGCATCCGAGTCGGTGAGAGAGACCCTCTCCGCGAACCCGGCCTCAGAGCTCGCCGGGGAGAAGGGGGCCGCGAACGGGTTGAGACTCGACGTTCCGGCGAAGCGGCCCTGCAGGGAGTCCCACTCCTCAGCCTCCTCGACCTCATCTGCCCAGGAACGGCGAGACGGGGAGCCTCGTTCCAACGGAGGAGCCATGGAGGCGAGCAACGAGCGAAGTAGCGGCAGCTATGGTGGGCGGCGAGGCCGGGGTGGACGTCGGCGGCTGGGACTATGGTGGACGCCGGGGCCGGAGTGGCCACCAGGGGGGGGGAGCTCAGGCTCAGCTACTCCCGAGCGTATGCAGATGCAGTAAAAAAACGAGATCGTCACATGTATTCGGTTGTGCAATGCAATTATGCAACTGAATACAGTAGGTTCTGAACTCTGCAGGGCAATCGAAATCGATTCAACCCTGCTGAGGCTAGAACGCTTCCTCCTGCGCGGCATCTGAAGTGTGAGGCTTATGTACACACCTTGTTGGACCCGGCGTGGCGAGGGAGAAGCCGCCGATATGGGGCACTCCATCGAGGCGGAGAGCAACTCTATCGCAGCGGCAACCACCTCCGCCTGCGGGTTGTCGACAAGGAGGCGGGCGGCGAAGCTCGAGCTTCGCCTTCCGTGGAACCAACGGCGGAACGACGTTGCTCTGACCGCAGCGGCGCAGCCATGTCCGCGCAGTCGCGCACGCTGGCGCCGGCGAGGGAGAAGGCGGATCGTCCCCACCAAAACTGGGCTGTTGCGGGGGTGGTTATGGGCCGTCAGGAAGTCAGAGGCTTGTTTGGCATGGGCTCATGGGCTGTGTAGCTTATACTACTGCTCCCTCCATCCAAAAAGAACTTTGATGTTTTAGTTTTGTTCTATCTAAATCAAATTGTTGCAAATTTGACAAAATATATAGAAGTATTTTCTAACATTTATTATTATACTAAATAGATATACTATAAAAATATGTTGCATGGAGGATTGCATGGTATTTATTTAGTAATATAAACATTAGTTTTCTAGTGTATAAATTTGGTCAAACTTAGATAGTTTGACTTAGAACAAAATTAAATCAGTTTTTTTTCGATGGAGGGAGTACTTAAAAATAAATTTTCATTATATTTAGTGAAGCTGCAAAAGTCCAAGCAAAAAACTAAAACACAAGAATAAAATGGTGGAAGCGAACATAAAAGCCCCGTTTGATACAACTTCTCCACCAACTTCGGGAACTGTTTGGCATAGTTTTTTTGCGAAACAGGTGAAAAAGAAACAGCTCATCAAGTGGAGCCTTAAAACATGGTCTTGCAAGAGGTGGGCACCCGATGGAGCTTATGAGCCTTAGAGACGGTTTTAGTAGAGCCGCCATTACTAAAGAAATGTGGTTTTTCTGAAAATCAATATATAGTATGTGTTTCTAAAAATCAATTCTGAAGTAGTGTCTCTTCTCTAGTGAAGCCATAACATCAATATTATTATTTCATCTATTCGATCACATCTTATGTTATTATAATTAGATGATGTCCTTCCGGCTACTCTTCTCCATCCCATTCTATCATCCTTCCTCACATAATTAGGTGGACCCAGTAGGGGAGCCTGCGCAGCACGGCGAGGTCGCATCGCACCTAGGGTGGAGGACCGCCGGCTCAATTGCCTATCTTACAGCCAACGAGGTACTACGGAAAGAGATGAATTCACACAAGCGACAACAGAAAGAGGTTTCAGAGTCCACTCCTCTCATATAGATATAGGCATCATATGACACTAGGGATGGTTCGAGCATCCATGTATATCTCTTACGACCACCTAGGGCGTCATTAAGGTGTGTTGTATTGAATTTTTCCTCTATCTTGATACAAAAATGCGCAAACTTTTTGCGTGATCGAGAAAAGAAAAATAAAACCTTGTCATCTGTTACTATGAAATTCGAGCCAAGTGATAGTTTTTCTATAACTATGAAGTCAAAGGCAAACGTGACAAAGAACATGATCTGCAGCTTACAGGTAACAGGTTGTTCTTATTGCTAATCAAGATAGACTAGGAAGTAGGAACCACCTTCACCTATTTCTTTCTACAAATCTAGTAAGCCTCAAAAACCTTGGCGCCTGATAAAAATCTGAACTGGCCGGATTGTGATACTCAGCATCACTATTCTGTTCCTTCAGCTTACCCACAAACTCTGATGGCATGCCAAACAATTCCATGTTTTGGATATGCTTGAGGTTCTCCATTCCTAGAGGTGTTTCAGTCAGTTCAGTGCAATGGCCAAGCGCCAGATCACGTTGGTCCATAAGGCATCCTTGTTGAAACGCTATGTGACTAAGGTTAGGCAAACCCTCCAAAGTGAGTTTCCGCAGTGTAGGAAAACTACCTTCGGTGAAGATCATGTCTTTGTCATGGTATGCACCGATAAGGCTGAAATTTACCAGCCTAGGAAGGGCAGCGAGGAGCACGAGTGAGTCTTGCGCAATTTGGCAACCACACAACCTTAACTGCACGAGGCTAGTGAGGAAGCAGATCCATGGTGGCAGCTTCCCTCTTGCCAACCTGCCAGTGAGAGCCAGTTTTTGTAGCTTCAATGGTGGTCGAGAAATTGATTCGAGATCCAGTACTGCGTCAACTCCAGGTTTAATTGCGACCCCCAAGCGCAGAAGGAAGCTCATTCTAGAGATTGACGATGACAAGTCAGCGGCAAAGCTTGCATCAATGACAGATATCTCCAAGCTCCTCATCTGCTCAAGCTTTGCTAACGATCGAACCATCTTCTTATCAGCTTCGACATACTTGAGTGTCTGCAGGCTGGCCAGGTTTTCTAGCCCGTCAGGAACCCCAACTGCCGTGCCAGGATACGGCTTCAAGAAATCACTTGTCTCACGCTTTAAAACTGTCAGGTGGCGCAGGTTCTTCAGTTGTGCTATGCTGCTTGGCAGCCTTTGGACCATGGAAAACTTGGAATCCAAAATTTGTAGATTCTGCAACTGTGGGGTTCATAAACACAGGGTCCCTCGCGGACCGGTCTCCCCCAAAAGGCCCGGCCCAAACAGACAGCGCGCAATTCATGGGCCGCCCAAGTATCTAAATAGCAGGCCAGAAGGGCGATCCAATCACCGACCGGAAGGTCTGGCCGAGGAGGAGCAGCGTCCGTTTTTCGACTCTGGCCCACCACTCCGACCAGAGCGTTCACTTCGGCCTCCAACCCGCCTCCGGACGGTCTCTCTGACCGAAAGGCCTGGCAAAGCACTACCTCCGACTCCGGCCCCGTGTCTCCGACCGAGGTATGCAAAGACCCTGCTCACTGCTCTTCTTCGACTGACGCAACCAGAGCCGACTGGGACCAACCGACCGGGGACGCCCGCCCAAAAAGGACTAGAGAACGAACGGAGAAAGCAAGACAAGGCGCTCAAGTCAAACCATGATACCAGGGACCATACCCTGTCACCTGCAGGAATAGTACTCTGTAACCACCCCGACACAAACAGTATTGTAGGCGTCAATATTTTCCTCCACAGTATTGTGGGCGCCGTTAAACTCCCATACGGTAAGGCCCCCCACATGCCTCTGAGCATCGATAGTGTTATGGGCGCCGGGATTTACCGTACCGGGTGAACCTGGTGAAACTCCTCACATGCCTCTGGGCATCAACAGTATGTGCAGGTACCGACGTCTGCCATACCCGAAGAAGACAACACCACCTCCCACATGCATCTAACACTCAACAGTAGTATCAACAGTGCTGTGGGCGCCTACCATTATCTCATACCCGTCGGCGTGGGTAACAAGGCTCAGTAGCATACGTACCCTCTCCCTCTTCCTTGTAAAGCCATCCCCTTCATCTATAAAAGGGGATGCGCTCCCTCCAATATAGTTCAGTTCGAAGAGAAAGGTCAATCCAGGCTCTCCAAGCCATCCTAGGTCCATTAGATCAACCAAGTTCACTAGCTCACAATTATAGAACCACCAGGTTCGGACCTCAAGCACACGCTTGAACACTTAGCTCGTAGCAGAGCTCCTGTCGCTCTCGTCCCTTCCGACCGGAGTCCGGTTGGACCTCTCATACACCCCATCTTTCTCCTTCTCGTTTGTAACCCCACTGCAAACTTCGAGCACCTGGCCTCAGGAATAAAGTCACCGACCGATTTGAACTGGATGTAGGGTACGTTGCCTGAACCAGTATAAACCCTGTGTCATTGAGTGTTAGGCCACCTCCGATCACAACGTACGACAAAACTACAAATATTTACATGTTGGTCACTTTCTACACTAACAGTTGGCGCCGTCCGTGGGGAAGACGCTGTACGTTCAACACTTTTTGGGTCATCGGATGGCCCACTTTTCTGCCACCCTCGCCGTGGCGGGCTCTGACGATCCGATTCGCTTCGGCTCACTAGAGTTTCCCGTGCTCCCACCTATTGGGATGTGGGTTCCACCCGTCTTCGAGCCATCCTAGGCCTTCCTCTTTAGAAGCCTGGACTCCGTCGCCGACCGGCTCGGCGTACTACACCTCCACGAGGACGATCTTGTTCCGGCACCCGTCGGAGGGGCGCCCTCCATCGACTCCGGGACGCACGACTTCGACAACGTGGCATCTGCGCTTCATTCCGAGCAAACTCTCTGCTCAAACCCCGCTGTAAGTAATATGCGTATAGTTGTTTACTCTTTATCTACTATCTCCCTCCAATCATCCGGAGGCACCGTACTGCCCGCGCCATGAACACCGTACGTTCGGTTCCCCCATGGCCTCGTGTCCCTCGTGGATGCGTACGCTTGGGGGCTCTGAAGGATGCTGGTGCCATCCCCCCTCACATTCAAACTCGTGGGAATGGTGAGCTACGCTCCTGCCACTCTCCACGAACTCCCGGATGACGAGGGTGAGAGCGACGGCTCCAGCATCGGCGACGTGGCACCTCACCACCATCTGTCCTGGGAGTGCGCTATGGCGGACGCTCCAGGATAGCCTCTGGTGGTTGTGGAATCTACGCAGACTCACACCCCTCCGGACCCGCATGCGGGGGCCCTCGCGTCTGCGCATGCGCACACCGAGGAATTATGACAACGGCGGCAGAACCAGCCGCCGCCTGCGCCGGCGCATTCGGTGCAGCATGTTGCGTCCCATGCGCAAGGCCCGGCGGGTGGCGCCCAGGGTCACGCCCGTCAGGTCAAACACGACATCAAGAATGAGGGGAACGATCTCCCACAATTTGCTCGGGCTGGCTAGAACATCGCTGCTGCGGCAATGCTTCTGTGCGGCGTTCCCAAGCCCGTCGACCCCTAGGAGCGGGCAGTCTACCGGAACCTCCGGGTTCTAGTAGAAGCCGCCACTGTTCAACAGGCGGAAAGCTCCACATCGCGACTCCGACACGCGCCCTCTCTCCCCACTGGGGGAACGGGGATGCGCCAGACGGATCGCTCCATTCGGTCGCCGCTATAGCCGCTAGGTGTGGCTCAAGGGGCGACAGCCGCGCCACGGTCCGACCTAGCGCCTGCTCCACACCGACCGCCGGTACACGAGCAGCCCAGTCCGCATTAGGACACTCGCAGCATCGTCAGCAACCGGCATCGGGCCCGACACGATGATGATGTCCACCGGGCGGCGGCAAGAGCAGGCGACACGGATCCTGGCCGAACCATCGAGGGGAGCGGTGAAACGCGCCCCAGGCACGGTTGCCGACTGGATGATCGGGGTCCCAGCCCTGAGGGTCCGGGACCGTGGCCTTTGACCGGCGTATCCGAAGAGCACCGTTCCCACAGCGCTTCCGAGCGCCCACCAACATCACCAAGAAAACCGGGGAGACAAACCCCGGTATTTGGCTCAAAGATTTTCGGCTCGCCTGCCGAGCCAGAGGGGTGGATGATGACTATTTCATCATTCAGTATCTCCCCATCTGCGTGGGGGAACATGTTCGGGCATGGCTTGAATTCCTCCCACACGACAGCATCCGCGACTGGGCGGACCTCAAGAGGGTCTTTGTCAGAAATTTCCAGGGGACGTATGTCTGCCCTAGGAACTCCTGGGACCTCAAGAGTTGCCAGCAGGAGCCCAGCGAATCCCTGCAGGACTACATCCGCAGGTTCTCCCAACGATGCAACTCCCTCCCTAATGTCATCGGCGCAGACGTCATCAGCGCGTTCCTCTCTGGGATGACCTGCGAGTCCCTAATCCACAAGCTTGGATGCCTGAAGCCCCGTACCACCCACGACCTGCTCGACGTCGCCACTAACCACGCCTCCGGCGAGGAAGCGGTCGGAGCGGTCTTCAATGGAGGCCGAGACAAAGGCAAGGCCAAGCGCACGAACCAAGACGAGGGCCCCTCCACACAGAGGGGCAAGAAAAACAAAAAGGACCGGCGCCGACCGGACAACACCGCGTTGGTTGCCGCAACTGACCGCACGGGCAAGCAGCCTCAACAGGGCCTGCCTGACCACTTCAACAAACTCATGGATAATCCATGCACCAACCATGCATACCCCGTCAAACACCTCTATAAGGACTGCGAGCTCCTCAAACGTTTCCTACGATAGGCCGGCGGGCCGAAAGAAGGAGACGACAAAGAGGCGGCAGCCAAGAAAGGAGGCACGACGGGCAAGGACGGAGACGGTTTCCCCAACGTCGATGAATGCATCATGATCTTCGGCGGATCCAACGTCATCTGGCCCAAGCGCCAGCACAAGGTACGCTATAGGGAGGCATGCGCCGCCAAGACGGCCATCCCCTCCTTCCTCAGCTGGTCAGAATCTTCGATCACCTTCGATCAGAGGGACCATCCCTCCCGCGTCGCGAGACCAGGACGCTACCTGCTCATCGTTGATCCCATCATCCTTAAGAAGCGCCTCACCAAGGTGTTGATAGACGAAGGCAGTGGCCTCAACATCCTCTACGTCGACACCCTCGACGCCATGCGCATCCCCCGATCGGAGATCCGCCTGGCGGGCTCTCCCTTCCACAGAGTGATCCCAGGAGCGTAGGCATACCCGCTCGGGCAGATCGACCTGCCCGTCACATTTGGTAGCCGAGCCAACTTCTGCTCGGAGGTTCTCACCTTCGAAGTGGTGGACTTTCCAGGATCCTACCATGCCATCTTGGGGCGGCCATGCTACGCCAAATTCATGGCAATCCCCAACTACACCTACCTCAAGCTGAAGATGCCAGGACCGAACGGTGTCATCATCATGAGTAGCGCCTTCTCGCACGCCTTCACATGTGACCGCGAGCACTACGAGCTCACCACTGCGGTCGTCAACTCGTCCGAGCTCCCACGGCTTAGGGAATCATCGATCCCGACAGTCCCAGACTGTAACAAACCAACCTCCTCGACGGCCTTCTAACCACTCGAGGAAACCAAGGCGGTGGGAATCTACCCCACCGACCCAACCAAGGCGGTTCGGATCGGGACCCAGCTCCCGGCCAAATAGGAACGCGAGCTCGTCGACTTCCTGCGCGACAACCGCGACGTCTTCACATGGCAGCCTTCTGACATGCCGGGCATACCACGGGGGGTCACCGAGCTCGCACTGCGCCTCATCCCAAGCTCAAAGCTCGCCAAGCAGCGCCTGCGTTGCTTCGATGACGAGAGGCGCAGGGCCATAGGCAAAGAGATCGCCAAACTCCTGACAGTTGGATTCATCAGAGAGGTATTCCACTCCGACTGGCTTGCCAATCCCGTTCTTGTTAAAAAGAAGACCGGAAAGTGGAGAATGTGCATTGACTATACTGGCCTCAACAAAGTGTGTCCAAAGGATCACTTTCCTTTGCCGCGCATAGACCAGATAGTCGACTCCACCTAGGGTTGCGAGATCCTCTCCTTTCTGGATGCCTACTCAGGCTATCACCAGATCGTGATGAAAGAGTCTAATCAGCTCACAACCTTGTTCATCACCTCGTATGGTTCGTACTGCTACGTAACTATGCCATTCGGCTTGAAGAACGCTGGCGCCACCTATCAAA